GAAAAATCAACTGCAAGCGGCCTTAGTATGACTAATATGACCTATGACCAAAAAGTCATATGATTATATAGCCAAAGTCATTTAAATATTTAAAAAATGTTATGATTTTGGTCATTGGCCAACACTACAATTCATCTAATATCTTCTTTGACCTATCATACTGAAACGTTAACGCCGCTCCAAATAACCCATGTTGACCCTAAGCTTTCCTCGGAAACTTAAATCTGATATCCGTGTCATGTTTTTATTTCGCCATAATTAAAGTTAAATTAATACATTTTTTTCTGATAAATTATTAAAGATTGTTAAGTGATAAAATCGATTTGAATGAACATTGATTAAATATTAACCACTGAATCCCTAACTAATTGTTGCATAATAATCTCAATCGATAAGACCGATAAGCGAGTCTAAAATGAAATTTTCATTGATGAATTTTATATTGGGGTTAATTCTTAATTTGGAAGAGAACCCGTAACTAATCATTTTTAAGATTTCTCACACACGGATAAGCCATATATGATTTACAAATCTGGTTTTTATAAATGTTTACATATAATAAAAGAATTAAATTGCGTATGAAAAAAATTAACCGCTGTTAAAAAAATGTCTCTACAAGTCTATGAAGAGCTTGTTACTTCTCTTTTAGAAAAGACTGAAAATCTCAAAGATGTTTATTTCTACCAATTTGAAACTGCCACTCTCATACTTTACAATTATTCGTCCGTTATGCAACATGGTGTAAAAGCAGAATATGCGATTATAAATAACCTTAACATGAAAATGAGACTTCACAAGGTCTCTTTTGACCGTAACGAAATGACCATCACTGCTGATAAAATCGAATATATAACTTTTCGACCGGATACTTTTATTTGCCAAGATAATCAAGTAATCGGTTTTATTCCAGGAGTTTATTTTCGTGAATCAACAACTCATATTAAATATTTTATTTTAAGTAATCATTACATAGGTATTAATGAGAATAGTGAGCATACTGTCACTGAGTTAAAATAAAATTTTCTTCTTTTAACCTAGTTTAAAATGTTTTTTTTGACATCGAATTTATTCTTAACTGCTAAGAAGGAACTTTATTTTTGGATTCTATAAATAATTGTGGAGCATATGATAATAGTCATGCATGTAATTTCTCAATATAAGCAAATAATCAAAATTCAAATAAATATTTGTATAGTTAAATAAGAAAAAATAAATTTTAGCATACCTTTATTCGTAATGATATTAATCCCTTCTGAGCTTCTACGGAACCCTTTCAGCAACCTTTTGAAATATACAATTACAAGATTTTCATCCTTAGGCATATCGAGTTCACCATAATAATAGAACTTTCCAAAGATACGTATAACTCTTCAAAACATCGTAAATAATTGTTTGAAAAAAATCCAACTAGATTTTATTTTATTAAAATAACGTGACAGCTCCTATAAAAGGCAACATTAAATGTCCAAAAAATAAATGCTCAAATTTTAACAGAACATCTTTGAAATGTTCAAGTGATAGATACAATTTTTACCCGTTGATAATACGTCTCAGTATAATTTTATTTCTATTAACATGGCATTACGCGAAATCATAAATTTCTTGAATCAACATGTTTAGTAAATTATTTTCGTACATTCATAGTTCGTGATAAAGTTAATAAGCTAATGCAATTTCTTTACTACAGATGAAAAGTAAATTCTTATCGTGATACCACAGAGATAATTCTAATTCTTTATTCGTCTAATAGTTTGAAAAGGTATAAATCCTTGATTAATTATTTGAAAATGTTCTAAATGTTATTAGATATAACTCTAGTATATAGGTTAATGCTCACGTGCAAATTTAAAGTTGGAGACCCGAATCGTTCGATATGTATGCATTATTTGTTTAATATTTTAATAGCATATATACTCAATAAGAATTATTTATTTCTTATATACGCATCTCAATTACTATCGAGAAAACTTATATATAATTAGTATATTGCAGGTCTCACTGTACTAATATATGCACGGTAATTGTACTACACATGGACTAAATTTTTATACGTATTAACATTATCGTTATACGTATTATAATAATATACCTATTTGATTAAAATTGTGATAATATATATAATAGTTGTAACTGGTTATCAAACATTTACATAAGCTTATATTGTAAAAATAAAATAATAATATAAATTTTCCGTTCTATTTTAAACTGGAGAAGGACAAGTTTACTGTATCACATTATTCGCATAGATTATCAAAAACTAACAGCTAATAACGATAGCATTATCAAATGCGCGCGTTCTATATAGATATTGTATTAAAATTTATGTAATATTTTAAATAAATTATACAGTGTATAGTATCGTTATATTCATTTCACTGATAACTATGGTACAGGTTCTTTCAAACAAATTATATATCAGAAATGTGTTCGTTTTAAGATCACGTGTAAGACTTTTTAAATAAAAAGAAAACCAGACTTCAGAATTATGCTGTTGAAAAGAGCCCAACGTGAAAATACTTTTGAATCATTTTTATAAAGAATGACTTCTCATATCAGTTCTATCACCCGTTTATCGAATGAAGTTCTCTTAGAAATATTTGAATGCCTAAAGAGTAATTACAAAACCTTGTTTTCATGCCTTCTTGTAAACCGTAAATGGTGTAGAATTATTGCACTGATATTATGGAGAGCTCCTTGGTTTTTTAAAGATAGAGTTATCGAAATCTGTCTTCTAGAACTAAATGCCGATGAACAAGCACTGTTAGTTCCATTAAAAATTAACTTGCCAGAAAATAATCCGATGCCATTATTTGAATATGTGAGTTTTATTACATCTGTCGATGGTCAGGATTTGATCTTTGGAGTGTTAAATTTTCTTAAAGAATGCGAAGAAAGTTATCCCGTAATGGCTGTTAAACATTCTTTGATTTCAATGTTTCTACGAAAAAGTAAGAAGCTTAACAGTTTGAGTCTTTTTAATAATAAACTTAATTCTTTGAAAGGAAAAGCAATAGCAAATGCTCTTTTCAAAAACAACAGTTTAGTTTATTTGAATCTTTCATATAATCAGCTTGGCTCTGATGTAGGAAAATCGTTAGCAAACGCTCTTTATAAAAACAATACGTTAACTACTTTAGACCTTTGCCGTAATCAACTCGGATGTGAAGGCGGAGAAAGATTAGCAGATGCTCTTCATGAAAACGACACTTTAACTTTTTTAGATCTTTCAAATAATGACCTTGGTTTGCTGGGAGGAAACGCGTTAGCAAATGCTCTATGCAAAAACAATACATTAACTACTTTAGTCCTTTCCAATAATAACCTTGGACCCGATGTGAGAAAAGTGCTAGCAGATGCTATTTGTAAAAACAACACTTTAACTTCTTTAGGTCTTTCAAATACTAACCTTGGTTCTTGCGGAGGGAAAGCAATAGCAGATGCTCTTTTAAAAAACAACAGTTTAATTTATTTGAATCTTTCATGTAATCAGTTTGGTTCTGATGTAGGAAAAGCATTAGCAAATACTCTTTGTAAAAATAATACGTTGGCTACTTTAAACATTTGCCTTAACCAACTCGAGCTTGAGGGTGGACTAGCAATAGCAGATGCTCTTCGAAAAAATCATATGTTAACTTCTTTAGATCTTTCATATAATTTCCTTGGTAATAATGTGGGAAATGCATTAGTAAATTCGCTTCACATGAACACAACCTTAACGTCACTGCGAATTAATGGTAATCAATTTGATTTTGAAGTAGAGAAAGCTTTAAAAGAAATAATTCAAAAAAGAGGTGGTTTGTTGGATGCGGGGACAGAGGAACTTTATAGCTATGTGGATTTTATTAATTAAATCATTCTTTTTTGATGACGAGTTGAACTGAAATGGTTCAGAAATTCTACTAAGTTTGCGTGTAACAAACTTCTATGTTGTTGAAATATGTTTTCATGATTTAATTTTGGTTTAGTTCTTGAAATATTTTTCATAATGATTGAATTTTGGTTTATTCATTTTGGTTTATTAATTTTTCTCTGTAGAAATTTTCACAGAAATTTTTGTTAAATTTTTTGTGTAGGTAATGATTTTACAATTTTCGTTGTAATGAGAATTTTTATTCTTTTGTTGTTAGTGAATAAAAATAATTTTTTTTATCTACCGAAATTATTTTACCAGAATTATAAATTATGTTTTTGGAGTAACTAATTACATTTTTAAATTTCATGTATTATAAGTGGGATTGGTATTAGGTCTCAAAAATTCTGAAAAACAAAATCTTAAAAACGATCGGAAATTTAGTGCGAAGTTACAGAATACAAAAAAAATTCCTTAATTCAAATATTCGTGCTTTAAAAATTTCTGTACGTATATTTGATTGCAATTGTTATGAACTTGAGTTTAATTTTTTCCCCCTTTAATTTCTATAGATAAGATGTTTGCTATGATTATATAGAAACGTAAACTATAACTATCACTATAACTATCGCTATAGTTAGTTATAGTTACTTGCCGATTTATCATTTACAATTAAAAGAGAATTAATTATTCGTTAATGCAATACGAGCAATACGAGTAGTTATAAATCATTAATTTAGAAATTGAAGAGCTAAAGCAAGACAGCTTTAGGATTAACTTCGATGTAAGTTAAAATTTAATTTCCAGGCGCTAATATCATATTACGTGTTCAAAAGTCATGCATCACATAATCACGTAATTTTAGTTAAAAAAAAGTTTATTAAATACTATGAAAATGAAACGTTTTCTAAAACTTAAATATACGCTATACAAATAAACTTCTTTGCAAGATATTGATATAGTAACTTCTACGTAATAACAAATTAGAATAGATTTGGCGCCTGCGTTTTAGTATAATATAATAACAGTAACGGAAACATCTTCGTGACAAAATGCAATTAGATCTTTCAAATAATGACCTTGGTTTGCTGGGAGGAAACGCGTTAGCAAGTGCTCTTTGCAAAAACCATACACTAACTACTTTAGTCCTTTCCAATAATAATTTTGGACCCAATGTTGGAAAAGCGCTAGCAAATGCTCTTTGCAAGAACGACACTTTAACTTCTTTAAATCTTTCAAATACTAACCTTGGTTCTTGTGGAGGAAAAGCAATAGCAAATGCTCTTTTCCAAAATGACAGTTTAATTTATTTGAATCTTTTATGTAATCAGCTTGGCTCTGATGTAGGAAAAGCGTTAGCAAATGCTCTTTGTAAAAATAATACGTTGGCTACTTTAACTATTTATCTTAATCAACTTGAGCTTGAGGGTGTAATAGCAGATGCTCTTCGCAAAAATTATATTTTAACTTCTTTAGAACTTTCATATAATTTCCTTGGCAATGATGCGGCAAAAGCATTAGTAAATTCCCTTCACGTGAACACAACCTTAACCTCACTGCAATTTAAAGGTAACCAATTTACTTTGGAAGTAGAGGATGTATTAAAAAAAATAATGCAAAAAAGAGGCAGTTTCTTGGATACTCGATTGGATCCTGGTGACGATAACATTGAGGAACTATATAGTTATAGCTATATGGATTTTATTAATTAAATAATTCTTCTTTGAATATAAGTTGTATTGAAATGATTCAGACATTCTGCATAATTTTGTTCATAAGATGAGAGTAACAAACATCGTTGTTGTTCTTGAAATATATTTTTTTCGTAATTATTAAATGTTAGTTTAATTTGTTCTCTGTAGAAACTTTCGTAACCATTTTTAGGTCAAATTTTGTGTAGTTACATACTATAGTTATAATGGTTGATGATTTTTTGCTGTAATGAGAATTTTTTTTTGTTATTTGTTAGTAAATAAAGACTAAATTTTTTATCTACCAGAATTATTTCACCTGTGTCATAAATTATGTTTATAGGGCAACGAATTACATTTTTAAATTTCATGTATACTAAGTGGATATTAATATTGGGCTTGAGTCAAACCTCAACAAAATCATGAGACGAACAGAAATTTAGCACGAGAGGTTAAATACACAATTTTCAAGGTTACTTTAGATTTGCAGTTTTGTTTTTAATTTTGCTCTCTTTAGTTTCCATAGATAAGACGCTTACTATGGTTACATAAAGATGTAAACTATAACTATAGTTCACAGTTTTATACATAAACTGTTGCAAAATGACATAATTCGTGATTTAGTGTTTCCGTGACCTTTAGATCTTTTCATAATCTTTCATGATTGGTTAATTGCATTAAATCGATGATTCGTCACATTTATAACTTACAAAGAATTTTTTAAGCAATTAATATAAATTAATCATGTGAGCATAAAGTTAACCAATCAAATTAGTTAAATACATATATATCACTTTACTATCGAGAAAAAAACGCAATAACCAAGTTGTTATTTCCAGTTGTTTTATCTTTATACTACACACCATTTTCCTAGACAACCTTGTATAATTTCGAAATTTTTTAAAACCGACGGGTTACATAATTGGTTACATACTAGTATTTTACGCAAACTCCTTTCCTTTTCATTAAAAAGAAAAGGCGGCGCATCAAAAGAAACCCCCACACATAAATAATATAGTTAAATATAGAAATGAAAATTATATTTAAGCATTGGCGTCAAATGATTTACTGTATACTATCGCTATTTGGATGCATTAAAACTTTAATATGAATTTAAATGTCCAGTTAGGGTATTAATATCAGCTTTAGATTAAATACTAGCCTGAAGCGTAATCTCAAATCCATGAACTTTCATTGTTTTGAGTACTGTTTAAGAGAGAAATTTGAAATATTTACATTAAGTCAATCAATAGCTAGATCATCTCAATAAATTTACAATGATGAGTACTATCAAGAGTAATAAGAATGAATTAGAAAATTTTCTGGAAAGAAGATATACCCTTCTTAAACTAAACAAGATGTTTAATAGGTGAAAATATTTATTTAATGTCTTTGACTTTTAGGCGTTCTGTTTCATATGCTATCTTTTGTGCTCTGTCACTTGCGCTTAGTTCTTTTCTTTTCATTTCAGAAGAAAATAACATGAATATTAGAAATATTATTTCTACTTCCGTATTTGGGATAGGAAGCATAGCTACTTTGATCAGTTCTTTTTTTCCTTTTATGAAATTTTTACCTGGAAACCAACTAAGTATTAAAGAAAAGATTGAAGAGCAAATTATAGAATGCTCGGAACATATATATAAAGTAGAAGATTGCGAGAAGAATGATACAGAGAAAGACATAAAAAACCCCTTTTCACTTAGATTTCATTAAAATACTTACTGGCAATTTACGTTGGATGATGATTTTGCAAAGTATTTATATCATTTGTATGCCATTAATTGTTCTTATCTTATCTATTATTTCTATTTTTTTTATGCTTAATGGTTCAGGTAAAAATATAATTAGAATTATAGTTATCATTCTTATCAGTTTTTCTTCTGTTTGTTTATGGTGCGATATTGGCTAAGAAGACTCAACATAAACTCGATCAACCAATTGATCAATAAAACAGGTGATAAAATGATCTCATGGCAACAACTTAAGTTGCTGAGAGGAGAGTCAAGTAAAGGAAGACCAGCACGATGGTTCAAAAAAGTTGAGAAAACTTTGCTAGAAAATAAAGGAGACAGAACAATTAAAGCAGAGTTTGTTTTGTCAGAAGGAAACAAAGAAGCACTCCAAACTCCGCTAGACAACTGTTCAGGTGACAATAGAAGAAGAGAATGGGTGGTGCTCAAATCACGAAAAGGAAAAGAGCCAGGAGGCATAACAGTCCGAAAAGTAATAACAGCAAAAACTCAAAAGCTACTTACAGAACATTGGAGATCAAGACAAAAAGAAAATAAGAGCAACCTAATACTAGAAAAATGCAAAAGTTGTAGGCTTGATCAATTAGGAGAAGATGAAAGTTGCAGAAGGTGGTGCCAGAGAGACGAAGTCCAAGAATCACTTTCAAGATTCATTAGGAAAAAAGAAGAAGTCTACCTCAACTTGAACAAAGAGATGATAAGTGGAATGGAGATAATTGACAAAGCAAAACCGACACACCAAGAACATGCAGTAGAGGAGGTCAAATGTGAAGAATTGGATATTGAGCTTATTAAAAAGCAACAACTGAGCCAATTTCTAAAGGAGGATCTTATCAAGAGAAACCAGATGAACTAATTAAGAAATATGCAAGAACTAATCTTTTATACAGATGGCTCGCTAAGAAGATCATCACAGGAAGAAGGCCCAATTATGACTCATATGGGTATAGGTTGGGTTTAGGTTGATGATAAAGAAGAAATAGTTTTAGATGAAGAAAGTGTGAGTGCAAGAAATTGGTCATTATCAACAAAGGCTGAGCTTTTGACTATTTGGTATATGCTATTGATTACACCTAAAAGAAAGAAGGTCAAGATCTATACAGATAGTGTGGCAGCAATAGCAAGTTTGGCCAAAACAAGAAAGATCAAAATAAGCAAGAATTGGATTAAAGAAAAGAATGCAGATCTTAAGAGAAGTATAAAAGAATTATGCAATTTAAAGAAAATAGAATTAGATTTGATTAAGGTTAAAGGCCATAGTAGTAATAGGTAGAATGATAGAGCAGATAGTTTAGCAAAAGAGGGAAGTAGTATAGTAAATATAGATAGCATAATAGATAAACTACCTCCAAATGCAAATGTGTTACTTTGTTGGGAACAAACAACCATTGAAATGCCAACAAGACAATTCATTAAAGATGTACTAGACCTCAACACTGGAGCAAAATAGAGACATACGTCATCAGTACAAGAAACAGAACCACATACGGAAGAAACAGAACATGACTAGTCCTTTTTGTGGAGCAAAATCAAGAGACAAAGTGGAGTAAGATGCACAAGTACTAAGAAAAACAGAGAAATAGCAACACTAATTAAGTGCATAAATAGAAAATTGTCAGTACTTAAGACACTTGCACAAAGATGATCAAGGCTATGCAATGAAGAAGTAGATGAGGACCAAAATTACCTGGCAGCATATAAATATTACAGAAAAAGCTGGGAAGATACAGAAAATAAGACAATTAACTTGGCTTAGATTACACTCTCAGAAGAAACCTGTAGTAGAACAAACAAAGAAGAACTTAGAAGAATTTGGTGGGAAAACACTGAAGAGGAGAAGTTCAAAAGCCGAATCAAAATTATTAGAGGCCTAGTACAAGAAAAGGTTAAAGTCTTATTGCAAGACCTGATACAATCATTCAAGGAAGCTAAAGAATTTATAACAACTCTGGCCAAAACAGCATGAAACAGCTTTTTTGAAAACATATGGAAGAAACATTGCGAGCTGGTGACCAACTAAGAGAAATTAGTAGGAATCTCATCAGCAGACAAAAAGAAGAGAAAAAAAGCTACTCCAAGTACAGGATCAAGCAACGAAGGGACACACGAGAAGAAGAAGGGTATAGTTAGAAACCAGGTAAGCCAAACCGAAGTTAATAGAAAAGAGGAGGATAAAAAGAGTATTCAAAAGGTTTGGTTAGGTTCGGTTTACGACTAGATTAGTAATAGAATAAGGCACTTTTTTTGGGACCTCAATAGCTAGCCTGGTGCAGCCCTCTGGCCAGTAACAACTGGCCGGTATGGCAGACTGCCTCTGGGCACTCCTATAAGTAGCTGAAGGATGTTGAGCTAGAAGTTAAGCTAACTTTGTACAATTGCGTATTTAAGAATCTTAATAAAAGTGATAAGCAAGGCTGTCAAAGAGTTAAAAAAAAAAAAAAAAAAAAATTCATTTGCTATTATTGCTTGTTTACCCTTTTTGTAAATGTTCCTAGTGGCTCCTTTTCGACTTTTAGTTTCTTTGTATAAATATAAAGATTCTACTTGTAATTGATCTGTATTCTTCTTTTCTTTTTGTGAAAAAGAGCCTATCTCTATATTTATTGTTATTAGATCGACCTTAGCTCCTCTTAGGAGCAATTTGCAAACCTATGATTTGCAAAACTAATTTCTTGCTGTACTTCCAATTTATTCAATCTATTCAAAATTCTTAGAAGTATCTCATCTGATACTGATTTCTTGTTATCTACTTGTTCTATGTTGGCTTTCTTCTTTTGTTTCTTTTTATGAGTCTTTTTTTTGTTTTTATCTTGATATTCATAGTCTATTTCTTAAATAACATCTTCTACATTATCTTCTTTCAGTTGAATGACATTTTCTTTCTCTTCTCTAACTACTCTTTTTCTTAGTTCATATCTATCCCAAAACAGCATATGGTTGTTGAAGCTAAGTGGTTTGGATTTTGCCCTTTCAACCTTTCTTGCTTTTGAATGTAATTATTGTGTATCCTCTTGGATTGCCATTTCTATTCATAGGTATGAAAACTGACTTTGCCCCTTTGTTTCTGAGCAATCGCAGCAATAATACTTCCAAAGTTTCTTTTAACACCCCTTTGAGCTTTGCCTTAAATCGGCTATTCTTTTCTTTCAGCTCTGAATCTTTATCATCTGGAGTTATGTGTGCCAATTTATCATTGCTATAAGGCAAAACCCATGGCATATTTTTGTGCTATTTGCTTGTAGTTTCTATTACTGCCAATGGCTTGAATCATGTTTTCTTGATCTTAACTATTTGCACCTCTTTAAATTTTCTGCACATGTTATAGATTTCTTTGTGCTTAATGTTCATAGATAAATCCCAAATAGTTATATAATTTGAATTTTCTTCTCTTTTTTTTCCCTTTGTTGTATGGATTAGATGTCTTCGATTTCTCTGTTATAAATTGTTGAAATTCATCTTCTTGTGATTTAAGCGCAGTTCTTCTATTTGTTTTTAGTTTGGATTCTTCAGACTTGTGGTCTCTTGTCAATCTATAAACCTGTATCCTTTTTCTATTTCCCACTTGCTTAGAGTTTCTCTGCTGAATTAACAATCAAAATCGATTACTATCCAACTGTTTCTATTAATAAAATCTTCTTCAATAGACTTAATGTGATCACTGCCTCTAAAAACCTATTTCATATAATTGACTCTATATTCTTTATTGTCTCCTAGCATCTTACATGAGAAGATTTTTGCCTTGAATGAGTTTCTTCTATCACATGGTCTGTTTTTAGGTGCCCAAATACTATCCTCTAATGATACTTTAGACTAAACAATGTTTGGAACTTCCTTTTGTACTTTGCTAGAAGTTATAGTTGCTTCTTCGTAGGATAGTTCTTGGCTCTTCTTTAGTTTTTTTCTCTTGGATTCTGATTCTATATTCTCGTTTGCGACTTCTTCCCAATTTTGGTCTTCTATATTTGAGTCTTGCTTACTTGGGTCTGCTTCTGCATTTGAGACTTTTGTATATATAGTAGCTATCTGCTGCTTCTTCTCTTTACTTTTGAGTGATGTCTCTTTTTGTCTTCTCTTTTTTGACTCTGTAACTTGTAACTTCACATCTATATTTCCTTTTATAACATCTTCTATTTTATTTTCTTTTTTTGATTTTATTTTGCCAATGCTTGTTATATACTCAATTGATTCTGGGTTTTGTTGTAACATTCTTGCCTTAGCTGCCCATCCTTCTATAAGAGTCTTTTTAGACTCATGTTGTTTAAGCATTTCAGCAATTTGAATGCAAACAATCATTTCTTCTTTGGTAATTCTTTCTGGATCGCTGACTGCCAGGTCAATCGCAATCTGCTTAACATTATTTGGCTCATGAGGAATTACATTTTTTAGTATTTTAACTAAAATACTGTTATAGAATGATTATTTTATTATTAGACATTATTAGTTATTATTAGTTAGCATTAGTTATTATTAGACATTATTATTCTATTATTGTATTATTTTATATATTTATTTATAATTAGAGTATATAGGGTAATACGCAATTACTGTGCCAAATATTTACTGTGCCAAATAATTACTTTGCTGATGCATAGTTACTTTGCTACGCACAGTTACTTTGCCGAACAGTTACTGTACCATATAGTCGCTTTGCCGCTTAGTCGCTTTGCCGCTTAGTCACTTAGTCGCTTTGCCGCTTAGTCGCTTTGCCGATTAGTCACTTAGTCACTTTGCTGCTTAACTTGAAAGATATATAAACCCTGCTAAATTCTCCAAGCGACAGAAGATTCAGACAACTTCCCCTCTACCCTTTTTACTTAGTATTCTCTTTTGTAAAGGATTCCTTAGGCACAGAAACCTAACGGATAGCCTTTTCCCTCTTATTTAAATAAAGTATATAACATTCCTTCTCTAGGGTAATTCCTACAGGCAAGGCTTGTTATCTCTGCTTAAAGTATAAACTAT